CCCCCCCCCCCCCGCCCGAGGTGCCCGAGTGCGTAGTATGCTTGCGTTTTGCCTGTGATGATAAGGTCCCGGGTTCGCGAGTCCCAGCCAGTTGGATCGATGGATCGATCCGTACTGGTGATGAGACCCAACCAGATTGAAAAATCTGTCCAGTTTTGCTTTCTAGGCTTTCAGTTCACGTTTCATTTGCTCTAAACACAATGAAATTCGTGCCACATAATCCGAGTTAGTTTGGAAGATGTGCGAAGTTCTATTAACCTCACCCTAATAAAATGATGACAATATTCTAGCGAGTTACAGAACACACCGAATTCTACTGTTCATGACCGGAACACAACAATCTGGCCTCTCCCCAACCACGTTCCGGATTGTCCAAAACTTCGAACTGGTTTCATCACCCGTGAACGATAACTGTCATTAATCCGTTGATAGGGTAGAAAACTTTTCCGTGCGTGCTAAATCGCTTGGTTCATAGACCCCATCATCATTATCATCGTACAGCGAAATACAGTGAGAAGCGAAATTCACTAATCACTGCCAAACTCGCAATGCATACAAGATTAGTGATAAAATTTAAGGTGAACAGTGATTAGACCTACTTTGACGGAGGGAAAAGAAGGATAGCCACTATGGTCAACACATAGAGAGTGCACAATCGAACTCTGCATACATACCGTTTCAAGCGTTCTGGTCGGATAGGAAATGACAACAAGAACGCCACTGCTGTTGGTTCGCTGTCGCATCCTTCAATGTCTCCAACCCACCAGTTCCGGAGTCTTTCGAACTCAAACCTGGAAGACGTGAGATATCTACTCTACCCAATCGAGCTGTGCATTTCTTCATGCCTCGTCTCCAGGTTTCCTACAGCCCGGAGTGGCTCCAGCGAATAAGGCACGATGCGGTAGTCGGTAGCTGGGTATGCACAATACGTGTCCTAGCCAGGGAAGTCTACTAAACTGAAATCGGTGTGCTAGTAGACTCCCAAACACATGACGGCTTACCTCCAGATTACTAACCCATTCGCTCCATTCCACGTGGGTTTAACTATGTAAACCGATAATGGTAAGTGTCTAGTCGATAGATATATTCTACTCGCAAATTCAAGCTCTCACAGCCGTAACGCCGGACTGAACGAATGCGAGCACAATCTACACACGATTTTTCAATTTCAGTGAAACGTCACGTCTACGCCAAAGGTGTTTCAGTCTGGAAACAGTGAACATTTTTTTACTGGGATTCAAATCCGGACTGTGGATTAGCGTGTCTGTGGTTTGGATGTCCTGGTACGGTAATAGCAGTCAACTGAACTGGAGTGATGATAATGATGATAATGATGATAATGATGATGCAGATATTTATTTACCTGATGAATTTTCCTCTGATACGGTCTGTGTTCCAGTCTCGATTTGTCGTATCTGACTGGGTGTTGAAATGTTTTCGCACTCGACCACTTCTTCCACATCCATCGAAACGTCCTCTGTACAGGCGGAGTTCGGTATTTCTTGGGAGGATAGAGACAGTACGAGTTCGGGATGAAGTGTTTCACACACCGAGGAATGTGGTTTGGCTTGTTCCGGTTCGTCAGTCTGTTCCACTACTGGTTCTAGTTCTGGTTGCGGTGGTGTTACGATTGGGTTTGTCGCTTCTTCTGTTGATGCCACTACTGGTGGTGATATTGTTTGTGGTTGATATTCTTGGGATAGTTCTGATGTATTGCGGAGTTCGTTTTGTTCATTGATTTCCCGCATTTCCGGCGGGTAAGCAATCTGTGGCTGTTC